AGTGATTAAAACTTGCTGCAGCAAAAACCCACCAAAGTAAGTCATAGGTCAAGCCCTTCATAGTCAGAGGTAGGTTGAAAAGTGAGTCTCCACTCTGTCACGGTTGCCATCACACAGTTTTTATGTCTGCGTATATGCAAGAGTGATGTATCTTTCCAACAAACTCTCTCAGGAGACCTTGGCATTCAGCCAAACGCAGACAGCAGAGAATTAATGTACACCGACATGATACAATTAGTGTTATGTATCCAGAGGCGGGACTATAATTTCAAGTCTTCTCGAGTCGTAGGGTCCAAGTCGGGTCCAAGTCTCGAGTCATCTGTCTTCAAGTCCAAGTAAAATCCAAGTCTTTCCATCACTTTTGTGACTTCAGACCAAATCAAATTATGAGCCAGTGACTTGAGCACCCACCTCTGGTATTTGGTAACTTGCATTAGAAGTCACTGTCCTTATAAACTACACACTATGGCGCTTAAATAACAGAATGGAAAATTTATATCCACAAAAAAAAATTGTTTGCTATTCAAATAGAATCTGTTTGTTACAGAGTGCTTAGTCTGGAGAAGATAACAGACACTGAGGAAAATTTCCGCTGTATTATTTTCCAGATTTTCTAAATAGAATGCAAATTCTGAATAAATATAATGGGTGGCTTATTATATTGAGCTTCTAGTCATTTATTTTCGAGTTCAACTTCTGCAAAACATCCAGACTGTGTTTGGTTTCAATCCAGAAGACTCCCACAAATGGGCCAAGCCAGACCAAAACCGCAGACTTGCTAGTGTCTCCGTCCTGAATTGTGTCCCAATACAATGTAGCTATATCAATATTGTTCATAATTCAGTAAGACAAGCGAACACACCACATCAATTGGTTCATAGTGGGAAAAGTTTAGTATATGCTTTTTATGTAAAAGCATAACATATTTGCAGGCTGTGGAACAACGTAGAAGTTTGAAATGCACACTAAACTTAAACTGTCTGTCTTGAAATCGTTCTTTTAATTCTGCTGCGAGACTCAGCTGATCACTTTGCTAAGAAATAATCTGTCCCCCTTCTTTACATGACAAATGGCATATTTGCTGGCTGAAATATAACACACCATTAATTGGCACTAAGAGAACTATATGACTTCATATAGAAACACAAATGAAACTGCTGTGTAACCAATTACCTTCACAAAGAGCTGCACAATTTAAGCACATATTTACAGGGAGTGAGGGAAAACAGATATGAAATTATATAATCCCAAGTGAGATAGGGGAGGATGTCTACAGCTGGCTTAAGATGTTAAAGCCATCCTCTGCAGCAGAGCAGCGAGCTGGAAATCATCCACAAACAGGCAAGGTGTCTAATGAGACAACCCATGATCTCAGGGTCGCAGGTAAACAAGTGCCAAACAGGAAGTCAGGAAACAGAAGCAGGTCAGAGGGCAGCCAGACAAGCAAGTCAGAGAGGATGCAACGATGGCAAGGAACAGAGGACAGCTGACTAAGGTTCAAAGGCAGGAAGTGGGCATCTATGCGTGCTGATTAATTAGACAATAGGTGATTTAGAAGTGAGACCAAGTAGTGCTGGTGACAGTGGAAAACCAAGCTGGGTGTCAGACCTGGACTGCATCAGCAAGCCTACATGTCTGGTCACATACAAGACTGTTTGGGCTCTCCTGCCAACTCCAGCACAGCTCGAAATCAGCAAAAACACCAAATCTTGGCTGGGGAACATGATACTGCAGAAGATTCCACAGGTCTGGCCAAATGACTTGGGGAAACCCTCCATGGGCAAGTGAGGAAGCCATACGGAGCTGGAGGTGCCCGCGAGCCCGATCCATTAGCTGTCGTGGACACATGATCACAGAGCCGCTACGGAGGAGCTCTTCTGTGGGGCAGTGGGCTCGCAAGCATCAGTCTGTTACAGGACGGGTCAAATATTCATCCAGACCAAACACACATAATGGTGATGAGGTCATATTACAGCTTTTTGAGTACAGCCACAGAATAAAAACAAGAAAAATTAGCAATTCATTAGAAATCTTACGCCTCCCAAAAGCCCTAGAGTTACATAAACAGAAGTATTATTTTTAAAAATCACAAAAAATGTGACCGCAATGATGTGACTGTGCAGAGATTACAGTTTTTTTTTCAATTGTTTTGGCACATTTCATGAAACATACTTAACATACTCAAGACTATAAGAGCATTTCTCTAAAGAATTCCTGCATATAGCACAACACTTTGGTTTAGCTGCAATAGGCCATATCTCACCAAAAAAAACAATGAATTCATTTTTTGAAAGCAAATAATCCATGAATTCATGAATTAATCAATGAATTAGTCAGTGCCTCCACAATGTAAAGTACCAAAATGCTTAGATACATTGTCAGTGTGTCAGTGTAAGGATGCTGATCGCCACAATTCTCATTGACAGTCGGCTCCCACTCTCATTGTCACTGACTGATCATTTTTCATTAGCAAACTGATACTTATTCATGTCAAAGACACCAGTTTCAACACTGCAAGGCTCTACATTACAGTATGTAAAGTTAACTGGCAAGAGAAAACACTCACATGCACATGTAACTTCTGCAGATCTCTTGACAGAGTACAATAGCAAACAAAAAAAATCACACAGCTCTGTATAACAGTAACATGGCAATACAGGAAAAACAAAATGGTAACAAAGTGACATACTGTGCGGACCAAAAACACAACAATGCTGTATCACTACAACTTATGATATTTATTTTTTACTCATTTTGAAATCTTGGTAAACTGGTTTGTTTGTGGTGGTTAACAAGATGATCACATACTCATATAGTTATGGGAGAAAAATTATTACAGTGGGGACCTACATAATCTATTTTTAATCTATTTTTGACCAACAAAACTGCAGCAACTGAAAATTGTGCCAAATGATGGCAATTGTACAAAACCATTTGGAAATTTGTGTGAAGCAGTGAGAAATGATGTTCTGCTGTGTCATTATGGTGTCTGGATTACACTAGTTGTTGTGCAAATGTTAGTTGTCATTTGAGAGATGTTCCAAAGCAACCGAGAAAAACTGCAAAAGACGCTATTAATCCCATGCATGGCTGGAGGCCAGACCTGTGAGAGGCGGCTGCATCCAGGCCGGCGTGGGTACTGGCATCACAGCTTCCGATCAGCAAATGATGACAGGGGGCATCAAGCATTACACTGACCTGACAACAGTGATGGAGCTCTATTCACACAGCCACAGCAGGGGATAACAGGGGGGAAGTTATGTAGCAGCCCCCCCCCCACCACAGGCCAAGGAAAAGCTGACCACCTTGGGGTCTCTCTCAGCTGCAGATGGTTCGGTCCTGTGGTATCTGCCATTGCTGCCTGACAGAGTAAGAAACACTTTCCAGAAAGTTTAGGCAGGTCCTATCAGAGAAGAGAAAGCGTCTGTCCTTAATTGTTCTACAAGGGGAATCCAACACGCGAGGAAAAGTGACGATCATAAATTACAGGGAAAGAAGGGCTCCGAACAGCAGGCAGGCAGAGACTTTTCGAGGGACAGGTGGGTCCCCCTCGGTAAATTCCGCGTGTGGGGCACTCAGAACCTAGTGATTTAAATCCCCACCCACACACACGTGCCAGCATACAAGTGTAAAGATGTAATCTCAAGAGCCGGGAGATTAAAAATGCAGTTTATTACCAAACAGGGCCATTTCTCAAGGGCAGCGTGCTTGTGAAAACAGGCAAGGAAATATTACTTCCTCGGAAAAGACGCTGATCGAGAATCAATATCAATATTTACGGACACAAATGGATAATTAAAATTTCAAGAGACTGCAAAGTATTATGCGCGGATGGCAAAAGAATTGCACTGAATCAAATGAGACAAAACCTTCAGCCAGAGATTAGACATTGCAGGATATAGTGAGTGAACAGGTTCTGTCAGTCTTGAATGCATCAGGCTACGCAGAACAGCCTTCGCAAAATATAAAATTTAAGTATCATATAACATTATACATTTAAAAAAAAAAAACACTTGCGCAATTGTTGAATTGTACAGAATAAAACGCGCATCGATAACGAACAAGTTACTCAACAAATCCTAAATGAACTAAAAAAAAAAAAAAACTTAAGATGTAGCTCGCATCAGACAGGATGAAAACTTGCTTAACTTGCTTACTTGGTGAATGTGATCTACATCGTAATTTACATCACGTAAGGTCTATATACAGGACATGAAATGTATTTTTAAAATAGTAATACATTTCTTAAAAATTCTAAACTTACCGGAGCAAATATCACCATACACATTTAAAAGCAGGAGACACAATCCAGCAGCAGCACGCAGGAGCAGCAGCTCGTCAGCTCACTCATGCTAACAAG